GAGCAGTCTATATAGCATTCCATGGGGTAATTTGAGAAGAACTGACATCTTTCTGTGCATGAGCATGGCAGAGCTCTCCTTTGCTTAGGTCTTTGGTTTCATTTGTGTCCTGCAGATGTTCTGACTTTACTCCTTTTCCTTTATCTGTCTATCTATCATCTATCTATCTATCTATCTATCTATCTATCTATCATCTATCTATCATCATTATCTATCATCATTATCTATCATCTATCTATCTATCTATCTATCTATCTATCTATCTATCTATCTATCTATCATCTACCTATCTGTCTTTTTTTTTTTCTTTTTTGGTCTGTTTTGAGACAGGGTCTCCAAGTGCTGGGACCAAAGCGTGTGCCACCATGCCTGTCTTCCCTTTATTTTTGATATTACTATGAGTGACACTTGAAATAAAAAATACCTTTATTTATATATTTATTTTTTTTCTTTCATTTATTCATTTATTTATTTGTCTTTTTGAGACAGGGTCTCCCTGTAACTCCAGCTGACCTAGAACTCACTATATAGACCAGGTTAGCCTCAATCTCATGGAGATCTGCCCCCCTCTGCCTCCCAAGTGCTGGAATTAAAGGCTCTCCCTTTATTCTTGATATTACTATAAGTGACACCCTTAAAATTTAAAAAATATTTATATATTTATTTTTTATTTCATTTGTTCATTTACTTATTTTTTATGTCTTTTTGAGATAGGGTCTTCCTGTAACTCCAGCTGGTCTGGAACTCTTTATATAGACCAGGCTGACCTCAATCTCACAGAAATCTGTCTGCCTCTACCTCCTGAGTGCTGGGACCAAAGGCTTACGCCACCACACCCGATTTCAGGGTTTTTTAAAAATATTTTATTCATTATTTTTATTTTTTGTGTATGAATGTATTGCCTGCATGTACGCAAGTGCACCCATGCTGTGCAATACCCATGGAGGTCAGAAGAGGGCATTAGATCCCCTGGAACTGGAGTTATGAAATGTTGTTAGCCTCCATGTAGGTGCTAGGAATCAAACCTGAGTCTTCTGTAAGAGCAACCAGTGCTCTTAACCACTGAGCCATCTCTCCAAGCCCCTTCTTTTGTTTTTATCTTTTTTTTTTTTTTTGAAATTTGTTCATTTATTTTATGTTGTATGAGTGTTATGCCCAATGTATGCAAGTGCACCTGTGTCCTGCGGTGCCCTCAGAGGCTAGAAGAGGAAGTCAGATCTGAAGTTACAAATGTTTTTAGAGGCTAGGCATGGTAGCTCATGCCTTTAATCCCAGCACTTGGGAGGCAGAGGCAGAGGCAGGCAGATCTCTGTAAGTTCAAAGCCAGCCGGGTCTACATAGTAAGTTTCAGACCAGCTGGGACTACAGGGAGACCCTGTCTCAAAAAGACCAAAAACCAAAATCCAAAAAAAAACAAACCAAACAACAACAACAACAAAAAAAAAACCCCACAAAACAACAAACAAACCAACCAAAAGCTACCATGTGGGTGCTGGGATTCCAACCTGGGTATTCTGAAAGAGCAGCTAGTGTTCTTAACCCCCGAGCCATCTCTTCAGACACTTGGTTTTTTTGAGACAGAATCTCCTTGTATTCCCAGTTGGCCTGGAACTTGCTATATAGACCACAATCTCTAGAGATCTGCCTGCCTCTGCCTCCTGAGTGCTGGGATTAAAGGCGTGTGCCACCATACCTAGCTTATTTTTATTTTATGTATATGAGTGTTTTGCCTATATGTATATGAATGCACTTGTGTTGTACTAATGCTCAGAGACACCGGAAGAGGGCATCGAATACCCTGGAAGTGGAGTCTAAGGGAAAGTGTTAGCTACCATGTGAGACCTAGAAACCAAACCTGGGTCCTTTTAAGAGCAGCTAGTGCTCTTAACCCCCAAGCCATCTCTCTAGCCCCAGATACTCTTAAAACTTTTGCTTTCCAGTCATTGTCTTTGTAGAAGGGCCCTTGACTTGTGCATGTCCTTTGCTTTTGGCTGCAGTCCTAAGTTGGAATGGCCCTTGCCTATTACCATTCTGCAAAGAATGACTAAAATCTCACTCAGAGCATTTCTGGTCACGTTGGCCACCGAAGAGTCAAGAGGACTCTAGCCAAACTGGAGCATAAATCATACTGATTTGGAGGAAAGGTTGGACTGAATTGTCAGTATCTTTGAAAGAATTTTAAAAATGAAGCTGAGCTTATGCTTTCTGTATTTCCACAGGCAGAGTGGTAGACCACGTGGGCCAAGACCCCTTGCAGGAAAAGCTCCTCAGATGTGCCACCTAGGCTGGCAAGGTGAAGTTCCTGAGGGGTGCCCTTGCAGTCAGTGGTCAGTGCCAGAATTCCCTCCCTGTTCTTACCCTGCCCTGGGCCTTCCTGGTCACCCAGAGTCATCCAATGATATGTCGGCATATCTTGCCTTTTGAGTGTTCTTCTAGGAGTGGCCCCAACATGCACAGGGATGAGGCTTGGTCCTCCAGAGGTTTGCTTTTTTTTTTTTTTTTGTCTTTTTGAGACTGGGTCTCCCTGTAGCCCCAGCTAGCCTAGAACTTGCTATGTTGACCAGGCTGACTTCCAACTCACAGTGCTGGCCTGGAACTCACTGTGTAGACCAAGGTGGCCTTGAACTCAGAGATCTGCCTGCCTCTGCCTCCCGAGTGCTGGGATTAAAGGCATGCGCCACCACGCCCAGCCTGTTTGTCTTTTTTTTAAGAGTGGTCTCCCTGTAGCTCCAGCTGAGCTGGAACTTACTATGTAGACCAGGCTGGCCTTGAACTCAGAGATCTGCCTGCCTCTGCCTCCCGGCTGTCTAGGCTATTTTTTAAGATGCCCAGGCTCAAATGACTGTAAATTGTGGGCCAACTTGGACCGTTTGCGGCAAGGCTATCCTGATTGGAGACTGTGAAGTTATATTTATTTATTTATTTATTTATTTATTATTTATTTGTATGAGTGTATTGCCTGCATGTAGGTAGGTGCACCCATGTTGTGCAGTGCCCGTAGAGGTCAGAAGAGGGTGTCAGATCCCCTGAAGTTGGAGTTACGGAGGGTTGTTAGCCACCATGTGGGTGCTGAGAATCGAACCCCAGTCCTCTGCAAGAGCAGCCAGTGCTCTGAACTGCTGAACCAAGTCTCCAGCCTGAAGTTTTGTTTTTGTTTTTGTTTTTTTTTAAATTATTTTTAGAGGCCTTTAATCCCAGCATTTGGGATGCTGAGGCAGGCGGATGTCTGTGAGTTTGAGGCCAGCCTGGCCTACATAGCGAGTTCCAGGCCAGTTGGGGCTACAGAGAGACCCTGTCTCAAAAAGACAAAAAAAGATTTATTATTAGGTGCTGGAGAGATGGTTCAGTGACTAAGAGCACTGACTGCTCTTGCAGAGGACCTATGTTCAATTCCCAGCACCTACATGGTTGCTACAAACCATCCTTAACTCCAGTTCCAGGGGAATCCAACACTCTCTTCTGACCTCCACAGGCATTGCATGACAGGGGTACACTTGCATACATGCAAGCAATACACTCATACACATTAAATGAAAAAAAAAATTACTAGAGTGTGTATGTGCATGTGTGCATGTGTGTGTCACACTGTGCATGTCTTGATCAGAGGACAACCTTGTGAAGTCAGTTCTCTCCTTCCATCTTTACATGGATTCTGGGGAATGAACTCGTGTTGCCAAGCCCCTTTACCCACTGAACCATCTTGCTGACTCATGTGAAATTATTTTAATAATTTATCTGTTAAACACAGCTAATGCCTATGTTTTTGTCTTCCTTTCCCTCCCTTTTCCCTTCCTTCCTTCCTCCCTCCCTCCATCTTTCCTTCCTTCCTTCCCTGCCTTCCTCCCTTCCTTCCTTCTTTTTGCAGTGCTAGTAATTGAATATAGGCCCTCATGCATGCTAGGCAAGTGCTGTACCACTGAATTATATTCCCAGCTCAGTTTTTCCTTTTCATGATGGCTTATAGAATTTACTAGTTGCATAGAGGAAGGAAATTTTTTTAAATCTTTTTGAGACAGGGTCTCCCTGTAGCCCCAGCTGGCCTAGAAGTCACTATGTAGACCAGGCTGGCCTTGATCGCACAGAGATCTGCCTGCCTCTGCCTCCTGAGTTGTGGGATTAAAGGCATGTGCCACTATGCCCAGCCCATACTTTTTTATTTACCTATTTTCAATAAAAATATCCCTACAAGATGAAGTAACACTCAGCAAGAGAGAGTTGACATAGGCCTGCGCTGAAGCTGTGGCCCTGTCAGACTGTGGGGTCCGCCAAGTGAGTATCTTGGCCTCACACTGGTTTCTGCACCTGTGGCCCATGTGCTGAGTGTCTGCCAGACCTGATCTGGGTCCTCTGCCTCCTTTCTTCCAGGTTAGGGCCAGTACCTTGGTACCCAAGGTCCTGGAGAAGTGCCTCCCTGAAGTTGTCCCTTAGCCTGTGCCTCTCTGCGTACAGCTCCCAGCCAGCAGAGAATCCACACCTCTACCAGCCCCACAGAGACACTGCACTACCACCCCCCTTTCCTTTTTGGTGCTGGACATAGAACCCAGGGCCCTGTACATACAAAACACATGTTCTACCTACCTCTGAGCCACTCCCTGGCTAGACCAATGCTCTTTGGTTCGGCACTGGTTCTAATCAGCACAGTGGCTGCCTAGGGCCAAGCTATGCTCAATGAGAAGAGCCTGGGGGCGGGTCCATCTGTCCTCAGAGCCAGACTGTGTAGCTAGCAGAGTTGGTGGGGAGGAGGATGGAGATGAGCCTATGGTCCAGCCTGCCCTTTCTCTGGCAGGACAGTGTAGTAGAAGTAGGTAATGAGTCCCTCTGTCTGTTTGTGCCCCACTTCAGAAGCTTCATGGACTGTGTCTGTTGGGTGTGGATAGGAAGTTTTGGGTCCTTTCTGGATTGGTTTAGGAAGACAAGCACTTAAAGTGGAAAAGGCAGACTGAAGGGTTGTCGTAACCCCCTGAGCTCTGAGCTCACCTTCAATTTTCCCTGGGTTTCAGTGAAGCGCTATGTCCGGAAGGGGATCCCGTTGGAGCACCGGGCCCGGGTCTGGATGGCAGTGAGTGGAGCCCAGGCCCAGATGGACCAGAACCCTGGATACTACCACCAACTGCTCGAGGGAGAAGGCAGCCCCAGCCTGGAGGAAGCCATCAGAACAGGTGGGAAGCTGGTGTTTGGTGCCTGTATACCCTGGGTGGGGAGGATGGGCCAAGCTCCTCCCAGGAGCAGAGCTCTGCCCTTATCTAAGTCCTAGGCAATGAGGAAGACTGCCTTGCTAAAGATGCACCTGCAGATGCTAATTTAGAATTGTGTTTGGGTGGCAAATCAAAACTGAAGTGTTCATAGGGAGAACAGATATTTGTGTACCTACTAGCTTGTGAGTAAGTGGATTGAAATGATCATATTTTCTCTGTGAAGGGTTTTGGGATTATGAGCAGCTGTTATCACCATAGCACCAAGTTTCAGTGGCCTTGGTGATGGTCACCTGGTGTCATTGTGGAGGTTGCCCCTGTACCCTAGTGCCAATGTCACGTGTCCCTTATGACTGACCTGGGCACCCTCTATGCACCGTACTTCTCTAGTGTCCAGGTTTCCCCAGTGACAGGGCCTGTGACACTCAAAAAGTTCAAAGTTTAGCATACATTGAATAGTAGATCTTTAGAAACTACAACTGCCTTTCCAACTTTAGCAGGGGTGCTACGCACAAGTGAGCAATACCAATGTAACACAACATGCTGGATTTTTACATAAATCTAGTTACTTTACAGACCAGAGAGTCCGAGGGGATGGCGTGTCTCTGATATGAGCAGGGCCATCTGCAGCCCCCACTGCCCTCCACATGGCCGGTATCCATGGGGCCTGGGGCAATCTGTGAAGGGTACAGGGTGCACCCCAGTCATAGAACCCATTCAGAGGTCTCAGAACAGAGTGGTCCTTACTCAACTGGGTCAGGGTTTGTGTTAGATAAAATAAACTTGCTATTTGTTTGGACAGTGATTTTAAAGGTTTTGTTTGGTATGTTTTTGGAAATTTTTTTTTGGTCATTTTGAAACAGGATCTCCCTGTAGCCCCACCTGGCCTGGAACTTACTATGTAGACCAGGGTGGCCTTGAACTCACAGAGATCCGCCTGCCTCTGCCTCCCGAGTGTGGGGATTAAAGGCATGCACCACCATGCCTGGCTGGAATTTTTTTTTTTTATTGTGGGAAAATAGGCATAGCATAGTTCACCTTTTTTTTTTTTTCCCCAAACTGAAGCTGTCCCCATTAAACACTAATGCTTCATTCCCCTAACTCCTAGTATCTGCCTTTCTACTCTTGACTCTGACTTGTATAAAAGGGACCACACAGCCCTTCCTGATGGGCTCATTTAGCTCAGTGTAATGTTCTCCAGGCTATTCTGAGGCCTTGTGTGTGTCAGCTACCCCTTCCGTTCTAAGGCTGTGCAGTATTCCACATATGACGATGCCTCATTTGTTTGACTGCTGTGGACCTTTGGCTTGCTCTCCCCTTTGGCTGTGTGTGAAGTGGTGTTATGAATACATGAATATGAAGTACAGCTGTCTGTCCAGTTTGTACCTTCATTTTCTGGATGGGAACACATACTGACTGGGGATTCCTTTTTCTTTTCTTTTTTTTGTCTTTTTGAGACAGGGTCTCCCTGTAGCCCCAGCTGGCCTGGAACTTGCTCTGTAGACCAGGCTAGGAGGCTGGCCTTGAACTCACAGAGGCCTGCTTCTGCCTTACAAGTGCTGGGATTAAAGATGTGCATCACCATGCTCAACTACATACTGAGGATTCTTAAAGATACATTTTATTTATTTATTTTTATTTATTTTTTGTCTTTTTGAAGCAGGGTCTCCCTGTAGCCCCAGCTGTCCTGGAACTCACTATGTAGACCAGGCTGGCCTTGAACTCACAGAGATCCGCCTGCCTCTGCCTCCCAAGTGCTGGGACTACAGGCATGTGCCACCACACCTGGCTAAGATATATTTTATTTTTAAACATGTATATGTGTCTGTGTGTGTATATGCACTTGAGTGTAGTGCCTATGGCAGCCAGAAGAAGGTGTTGAATTCCCTGGAGGTGGAAATACAGGTGGTTGGTTATGCGCTGCCTGATAGGGTTGCTGGGAAATGAACTTATATCCCCTGCAAGAGCAGTATGCACTTTTAACCACTGAAGCATCTCTTCAGCCTGCCTTATTTATTTGTTTGTTTGTTTATTTATTTTGTGTGTGTGTGTCTTTGTGTGTGTATGGAGGTTAGAGGACAACTTATGGGAGTTGATTCTCTCTTTCCACCATATGGGTCCCAGGGATAGAACTCAGGGTGTTAAGCTTGGAGGTAAGCACTTTTACCTGCTGAACCATCCAACTGGCTCTTTCCTAAAAAAAATTATTTTTCTCAGACTAGTCTGGAATTCTATATGTAGCCACAAATGACCTTGGATTTATGATCTGCCTGCTTCCATCCCCTGAGTGCTGGGATTACAGGTTCACTCCACCATGCCTGGTTTTTATGGTGCTGGGAATCAAACCCAGGGCTTCCTACATGCAGGTACACACTCTGCCGACTTTAATTTTTTTGAATATCTGGATAAACCTTAGAGGGCCACATGTGTACTTTCCATGTCCACACAACCACTTTTTTGCTGCATAAACATGGTTGTAAACCCCATCCATGCTTGGTTTTGCATGTCTTAGAAAGACACGCTGGGCGTGGTGGAGCACGCCTTTAATCCCAGCACTTGGGAGGCAGAGGCAGGCAGATCTCTGTGAGTTCAAGGCCAGCCTGGTCCACATAGTGAGTTCCAGGACAGCTGGGGCTACAGGGAGATCCTGTCTCAAAAAACAACAACAACAAAAGACACCAAACATGGGGACATCTGGTCAAGCGTATCATGGATGAATGCAACCTGTGTCTCTAGTCAGAAATATCAAGAATGCTACTGTTTACAATTCCTTGGGGGAGATGTCTGTTTTGGGCCTAGGAGGCCTTCAGGTTCTAGTGAGCAGGAAGGGGCCAGGCAGGGAAGCTCCTCACACAAAAGCCGGCAGCGTAAGTTTATTTAGTTCCTGGTATGGGTTTTGTCTGTTTATTTCTGAAGGGAGTCATGGCCTGTTCTCCTTCCTATGTTTCTGGGTGTTTTTTTTTGTTTTCAAAAAAAATTTTTTTTTAATTAAGTTACCATCACACAGCTGGTTTAAGAAAGCCAAATGTGGGGCTGGAGAGATGGTTCAGTAGTTAGAGCACTGACTGCTCTTGCAGAGGACCCTGGTTAAATTCCCAGCACCCACATGGTGGCTACGAACCGTCCTTAACTCCAGTTCCAGGGGAATCCAAAGCCCTCTTCTGACCTCCATGGCATTGCACAACACGGGTGCACTCACATACATGCAGGCGATATACTCATACATATAAAATAAAAATAATAAAATACAAAAAAAATAATAAAAAATATTAAAAGAAAAAAAGAAAGCCAAATGCAGCCAGGTGTGGTGGCACATACCTTTGATCTCAGCACTTGGGAGGCAGAGGCAGCCTGATCTCTTGTGAGATTGAGGTCAGCCTGGTCTACATAGTAATTTCCAGGGCATCAGGAGCTATAGGGAGACCATGTCTCCCTGGGATTAAAGGTGTGGGCCACCATGCCAGGCCTGTCTCAAATTTAAAAATAAAAGAAAGAAAGAAGCCATATGCTTGCCCAGTCCCCAGCTCCACACATCTCAGTGAACCGTTCTGTGGGCACACTCTTCCACAGCCATTCTAGAGCAGTGGAGCTGTTAATAACCAGGCTTACTTGGTTCACACTACCACTATCAGTTACATTTTTACACTAAAGTAAGTTGGTCATAGGAGCCAGTTTTCCAATTCTTCAGTTTGAACTTCTTCTTTAGAGGATCCCTCCATTTGCAAGTCTGTACTCCTTCAGCACCTCATTGAAACCCTTGCAGAGCTTGATGTCACTTTGCTTCTGGCACACTCCAGAAACTGACCTCAAAAAGGCAAGGGCCACCAGACTGCTGCTCCGTCAGTTGGGCTCCCTGAGGCTCCTGGTGAGTTGTGTCAGTCTTTGCGGACTGAGCATTACCACCTCCACTGAGGCCCCCAGTGATGGCATACCCCAGTGTGTGCCCCACCGCAGAGCCTACAGCCACACTGGCTATGGTGGTTGCCATCTGGGCCATCAGGCCTGGCTGCTGGGGTGCAGGTGAGCCAACTGCAGATGGTGCAGCTGCTGCTGAAGGCTGAGCTGTCCAGCTGGCCAGAGAGGCCACCCAGGAAGAGCTGCCACGGTTTCCATTCAACATCCTGAATGCATGTCTGTGCCAAGTCTAGAAATGCAAAACCCATTTTCCAATTTTTTTTGAGACAGCATTTCACTCTGCAGCACAGACTGGCTTGAATTTAGCAACCTTCCTGTTCAGCCTCCTGAGTGTTGGGATTACAAGTGTGAAGCATCATCCCTAGCCTCTATTTTTGATATTTGGACTCTGGATCTTTTGGATTCTAAAAGAATGATCAGACCCACCACTGCTCTTCTTGGAACAGAGTGCCATATCCTGGGCTACAGGGTATGTTTCATACCTGAGGAGGTGGCCAGGTCTTTCTGGGGTGATTCAGGAGCAGCCAGGGTGGTGCCATTTCTGAAGTCCTAGGCAGAACCAAGTCATCTTGGCATATGCACAGAGGTTTGGTGGTGACACTGGTAAATTTCTGTGCAGACCTGAACCGGACCTTCCCCGACAACGTGAGGTTCCGGAAGACGGCAGAGCCCTGTCTGCAGAAGACCCTGTACAATGTGCTGCTGGCATATGGGCTGCATAACCGTGGTGTGGGGTACTGCCAGGTGAGCCCCCCAGGGTCTTAGAGCTGGCATGTGTTGGGGATCATTCAGCATCCTACAGATTCATCTGGCTCATAGGTCTGGGCCAGGATGCCTCCCTCCCAGGAGGCCTGGCTTGGAGTGTGTCCCTGCTAGAAAAGCAGGGGACACCTGTCAGACAAATTTGTGGTATCAGGTAGTGGACAAGGTGAGGGCGGAAGGTTAAGGATGGATAATGAGAAGGAAATTGAGTGAGCACAGAATGGAAGGTAATTTGGGGCCTGAGCAGTGCTGTGTAGACTTTGTGTGGGTGTGTGGGGCCATGCACTGCAGGGCCAACCTCCGAGGCTGTTTCTGAAGACCTGGTCTAATGGATGATCTCACCTACAAATTTTGGTCCTGTTTGTATTGCCAGTGAATCAGCAAGTGCAGTTGGGAACTCATTTCCTACCTGGGAATGTGCTGGGGCCCAATTTGCTGGGGCAAACTGGGTGGCTTAAACAACAATTTTTGAAATTACAAGACCCAAATGTGTGCCATGCCACCTTCTCCAGGGCAAGAAGGATGGTCCTTCTTGCTTCCCGTCCCAAGCCTCTCCCTAAATCTGACATTCCTGGAATTGTCTCCATGAGATGTTCCTTCTGCTTGGTGACTGTCCAGTTTCTCCAGTTTTATAAGGACACACACTATCTAACTGGTGTATGACTTTAATCCTGCCCAAAAGGTGCTCATCTTAACTAGCGACATCTGTACAGACCTGTCTTCAGATAAGATTCATCAGCATCTTTCCAGGTGCTGTCACCCTCATGACCCAGGGACACAGAGGCTCTTACTGGCCTCTGCCCTGTTGCGGTGTTCTGATCTCTGTGCACTTTTTTCTTTTTCTTTTTTCAATGCTGGGGATTGAACTAAGGGTCTTTTGCATGCTAGGCAAGCTCTCTACCACTGAGCTGTTTCCAAAGCCCTGTGTGCATGTGTATGTGTCATGTGCGTGTGTGTGTGTGTGGTCATGAGTGTGTACATGCATGTGCATATGGAGGTCAGAGGTTGACATTGGGTGTCTTACACTATTGCTAGCTCTCCACCTCAATTTTTCTTATTTAACAAAAGGGCATATTTATGTTTACAGATAAGAAAATAAAAAAAAAACAAAAGAAAAACAGGTATATTTCTACCTATTAACCTTTGTCAAATTGCCAACAGCCTTCATGCTGTGTGACAGTCTTTAAGGATTTATTATAAAAAAAAAATACAGTTCACCACAGTTCAAGACATCACTGAACTAACATATTTAGACAAAACCAAAAAGGACTAAGATTCTCTTATATGTAGTTTGATAGTTTAATTTGATTTGCCTGAAATAGCAAAAGCATTTCAAGCATCTTTCATTATGTAATTGATCTCCTGCATTAAACAGTCTACTAAATTATGAACACAAGGTTAGTATTTTAAAAAATTTAAAAATTAGGGGCTGGTGAGATGGTTCAGCAGTTAAGAGCACTGACTGCTCTTGCAGATGACCCAGGTTTGAATCCCAGCTCCCACAACTGTCCGTAACTCCAGTTCCAGGGGATCTGACTTCCTCTTCTGACCTCTGCAGGCACTGCATGATATGGGTGCACTTGACTTCCAAGGGCATTGCACGACACGGGTGCACTTACCTACATGCAGGCAATATACGCATACACATAAAATAAAAATATTTTAAAAAAATTTAAATTAAAACAGTTGTTTCAAAACCATTATATCAGGAATGTATTTAAGAAATTAATTAGGAGGTCAGGCGCAGGCCTTTAATCTGAGCACTTGGGAGGCAGAAGCAGGCGGATCTCTGAGTTCAGGCCAGTTGGGGCTGGGGCTACAGTGAGAAAAGAAAAAGAAAGAAAAGAAACTAATTAGAGTGGGGTGTGGTGGTGTATGACTTTAATCCTAATATTTGGGAAGCAGAGGCAGGCAGAACCCTGTGAGATCAAGGCCAGCCTGGTCTACATGAGTTCTAGGCAGCTGTGGTTACAGGGATACCTATATCTATCTCAAAAAAAAAAAAGAAAGAAATTAAAGAAACTACAACAGAGGCCATAACTTCATTAGAACACCATTGCTCATGTTCTACCTTAATTTTTTGTTGTTGTTTTGTTTTTTGTATTATGTATGTATGTATGTGATACAGGGTCTCCCTGTAGCCCCAGATGGCCTGGAACTCCCTCTATGTAGACCAGGCTGGCCTCAATCTCACAGAAATTGCCTGTCTCTGCCTCCTGAGTGCTGGGGATTAAAGGTGTGCGTCACCACGACTAGCCCATATTAATTTTTGAGACTGGGTCTCGCTGAACCTGGAACTCACTGATTTGGTTAAACTGACTGGCCAGCAAGTCTCAGGTATCCACTGGTCTCTGCCTCCCCAGTGCTAAGAAAACAGGAGCACGCTACAGTGCTCAGCTTTTTACATGGGTGCTGAGGATCCAAATTCAAACCCTCCTGCTTGTGTGGCAAGCACCTTGCTGACTGAGCCATCTCCCTAGCCTCCATGTGTTTTTCTTCTGTGTTGAGTCTCATTGTTAGGTACCCACTAAGAGGAGGTACAGATCAGAGGTGTTGGGGGCTGTGTGCCTAGCCCCAAGCATTTGTTCCTGATGAGTGCATTAGCATCTTTGTGCCAACCACACCTGCATGACCAGCTTGCAGTGTTAATTTGGTATCACTTGAGCCTATCCTATTGGTTGCTGAAAGCTGGATAATTTTTTTTGTTGTTCTTTTTGACACAGGGTCTCCCTATAGCCCCAGCTGACCTGGAACTCACTATGGAGACCAAGAGATTCACCTGCTTCTGCCTCCCAAGTGCTGGGATAAAAGGCGTGTGCCACCATGCCCGGCCGGATTTCTTTTCTAAATTCTAGAGAAAGGCATATTTATTTAGGAAGTATAAACGAACAGAAAGGAGGACGGTAGAAGTGGTGCAGAACTCAATCTCCCAGAGGTGTTAACGCACTCTCCTGGGTCCCACTGTAAGCTTAGAGGGCCATGTCTTCTGCCGGCTTCAGCTGCCAGGCTTCATGCCGGTACTTGGCAGTATCTGCCCTTTGTGGAATGAGTGCTGTGACTGTCTCCAAATGGTCTCCATACAAAACTCTCACTGCTCCACCCCTCCCTTGTCAGGACCATCCTTGTTGCTTTTTGTTATCTTTTAAAATTTTTATTTATTTTTATTTTATGTTTACAAGTGTTTTGCATGCATATATTAAGTGTGCCATGAGCATGCCATGCTCACAGAAGCCAGAAGACTGTATTGGGTCCCCTGGAACTGGAGCTAAAGACGATTGTCAGCCACCATGTGGGTGCTGGGGACCGAACCAGGACCCTTTGCAAGAGCAGCCAATGCTCCTAACCACTGAGCCCATTTGTTGTTTGTTTAAGGGACTGGGAATTAAACCAAGGGTCTTACTCATGCTAGGCAAGGGTTCTACCTCTGAGCTATACCCCAGCCCTCTTCTTATCTTTTAATTTTGAGACAGTGTTTCGTTAAGTTCCTTAGGCTAGTCATGAACTCGTGATCCTCCTGCCTCAGCTTCCCAAGTAGCTGGAATTATAGGCCTGTGTTATCAGGCCTGGCTGATCCTTGTTACTGTTATAAACAGTCACTGGCAGGATTTCCCCTCTGCCAGAGCTCTGTGTTGGTCAAACATGTTAGACTGACTGTTTAGGGGCTAATGGTGGTCACTTTGCTTTGTCACAGATCAGCACTAGAGGGGAGAGCCTTTGGTTTCATATTCTGAGTGGCATTCAGAGAGTTTTTCAGCCTGACCTCCTTCCTTCATGTTGGCTGGCTTAACAATGCAGACAGCAGGCCCAGAGCTCCTCTGTGCTACACAGAGGTCTGTCTAGAGTCTTACAAGTTTCCCAGAAGAGGAGAAGAATGGAAACCTGGCCTTGTGCCGAAAAGCTGCAAGTCATATGTTGGTTTGGAACTCGGTGAGGTTTGTTTTTGTTTTCTGATTTCAGGGAATGAATTTCATAGCAGGCTATCTGATTCTTATAACAAAGAATGAAGAAGAGTCATTTTGGCTCTTGGATGCTCTTGTTGGAAGAATACTACCTGGTAAGTTCACAGTTGCTCTTTTTACCTGCCTTGCTTCTTTCTGGTGTCCTTGAAATGTCTATCTGGCCTGTCAGGATGGAGTGAAATGACTGGGGAATAACTCAGGGATAGAGCACTTTCCTACCTTGCTTGAGGTAAGGCCTGGGGGTTTAATCCCCAGCCCTGAAGAGAGGGAAGGAAGGAGGGAAAAATATAATGGAAACAGAGTTGGCCTGTGGAAACTGAGGTTAAGAAGACTTGGATTTCTAGTAGGGCGTAGGCACAGCCTACAGAGCCTACAGAGGCAGATCTGTGAGTTCAAGCCAGCCTGATCTACATAGTGGGTTCTAGACCAGCTGGTCCTACAGGGAAACCTTGTCTCAAAAGAGACCAAACCAAACCAAACCAAACAAAACAAAAAATACAAGAATTGGGTTTCTGTGGGCTCTGTGGAGGGGAGGGGTTTGCCTTTGCCTGTGGTTTCATGAATGTGTTGGTTCTGGAATGAGAACCCAGCGCAGTATTGCTTTATTGCTTCTTAAGGTGGAAGTCCCTCTTTTCAAGTCCTTCTGCCTTTTTCTTATTAATAGATAAGTAAAGCCACTGGGCTACAGAGAGGGTCATTATGGGAAGAGCCAGCAGCATCCTGAGGGAGATGACTTTGGGTGGAGAGGACTTCCTAGCCTGTGTAGTTGCATTCCTGACCCTGGGGAGTGTGAGAGGCTGTGTGCTATAGCTGTGCCTAAGTGCCTCAGGCGGTTCCTACTAAACTGCCCTTTACCACCATATCAACTTACCATCCCGTCAATTTGAGACCTGCTAGGCACTTGTTCATAGTGACCCAGGAGACTGCAGGCATAGGGAAGCGTCCAGCCGTCAATTTGAGACCTGCTAGGCACTTGTTCATAGTGACCCAGGAGACTGCAGGCATAGGGAAGCGTCCAGCTAATGACCATCACCTGACCTGCCTTTTCTGCGTCTTGGCTTTGAGCCACTACTGCAGGACCTGGACCTGGGTGTGTATACTTGATAAGCTGTGTGGGGGTTGGGAGCTGCTGGTGGATAGGAACCTACCAGATACAAGTGAGCTCACTTTGCTGCTGCTGTTAGTCTATGAGGTACAGAGGTGGGGACGCCAGAGCTTATCTGGACTTGAGGAAGCTGCTGGGAGATGGAAAGTGAGACAAGAGCCTGGGTAGAGCTCAGAGGGCAGGGCAGAGCAGGGCAGTTTTGCCCTGGAGTTTGGGCAGCAAACCAAAATAGCCTTGTCTCTGTGGGTCTCCCGGAAGCAAGAAGGCAAGTGGTGGGCTAAAACCACACGTCTAATCCCGGAGGGGTGACCCATTGGCAGTGGCCTGTCATTCTACCCTACAGGACCAAAGTGCACTACACACAGACTCCATGCACAGAGTAAGGGGAATTTCTGTAGAAGACAAGGCCATGGAGGAAAAGAGTCATGCTTGTCACCACAGAGTTCTCCCGGTGGCAGTCCATGCCACCTCCTCAGTATCGCTTTCATTGTATCTTTTTTTTTTTTTTTTTGTCTTTTTGAGACAGGGTCTCCCTGTAGCCCCAGCTGTCCTGGAACTCTCTATATAGACCAGGCTGGCCTGGAATCCCGAGTGCTGGGGTTAAAGGCGTGTGCCACCACGCCCGGCTCATTGTATCTTTTTAATGGTATAAGAAATAGTGCAGGCAGAGTCTCATTTGCAAATTGAAAATACACAGTACTGAAATGTGACAGTCCTTTGTTCAGACAGCCTGCTTATCTTTCAAAAATCTTGGCTGAGGGTGCTTATGGTCCCAGTTACCTATGAGGCTGAGACGGGAGGGTCACATGAACTCCGGGAGTTTGTAGCCAGTCTGAGCAACACAGTGTAAGAACCTGCCTTAAAAAACAATTAGAAAAAAATTTTGAAAAAATTTCGGGGAAAGGCGCAGTAGAGAAGCCAAAGCCTTCCCTTACCGTGGGTGAAGCTCTGACTCCTATCCCCAGCAGCTGGGAAAAAAACTTTTAAATAAATAAATCTTGCAGAAAATAAAAACGATCAAACATTTACCAGCTCAGAGAAAGCAGCTGGGCCCACAGGCTGTTCTCACTGGTTTGTCAGTTTGCTTCTATTTTATTTATTTATTTATTTATTTATTTATTATTTATTTATTTATGTTTTGTTTTTTGGGGGGGGGGGCTTTTTGACACCAGGTCTCCCTGTAGTTCCAGCTGGCCTGGAACTTAAGTCTGTAGACCAGGCTGGCCTTAAACTCAGAGATCCACCTGCCTCTGCCTCCCAAGGGCTGGGATCAAGGGCCTGCCACACCTGGCCTTGTTTATTTACTTTTGAGATACATCTCACTATACATAGACCTGGCTGACCTGGAACATATAGAGATCTGTCTGCCTCTGTTTCCAGAGTGCCCACCCTGGTTTATCAGTTTGAATCTAGAGATACTTATAAAGCAATTCATCTTATCTAGTCAGTTTTTCTCAGTTTGTAAGGCTAGCTACTTGTATGGATGAGTCAAGGGCAAGCCTTAGTGAAGATGGCTTGAAGGAGAATGCTGGGGACTGAAGTGTCTGGGGTGGATAAGCAGCTCTGGAGAAGCCTGTACTGATATGCATCAATTAACAGGAAAAG